TTTGTTTTAAGAATTTTAAAAGAAAGTTTGATAGTTCCACAGGTTTCTCCTTCTCCAGGTTTCAATGACTTAGCGATAAGCCTACTTTTTATTGATAAATTTTGTTATAATGCTGTACAATGACCCAAATGAATTCACAATTAATTAAACCACAAAACTACAGTCCTTGAAAATAGCTCTGTAAAACCATGAAAGAAAATACCCTATACTTCATTAATTTAGTGACATGTAAGATTAAATATAAGTTGCTCAGTCTGACATTCAGACCCCTTCACAATATAATGCCCATTTAGCTCTCCATGCAAATTTTGTATTTTTCCCGATCATATGTGTTATATTCTAGCCAATTTTCTAATAGTTTTTCTCCAAATTTAGCATTACTTTCCCAATGCCTAGAATACCTTCTCAATTCAACTCTGCCTGTTAGAATGCCTAGCTTTCGGGGAATGGCTGAGCAAGTTGTGGTATATGAATGTAATGGAATACTATTGTTCTATAAGAAATGATGAACAGGCTGACTTCAGAAAAACCTGGGAAGACTTATATGGTCTGATGCTGAGTGAAGTGAGCAGAACCCAGAGGACTTTGTATACAATAGCAGCCACGTTATGCAATGACTAAGAATGTTAAACTGAACCCTTCTCAGCATTATGAGGATCTAAGACATCTCCAGAGGCCTCGGGATGGAAAATGCTGTCCACATCCAAAGAAAGCACTATGGAAGTCGAATCGCTCTCACTTAATTTTACCTTAAGTTGAATTCTGTTTCATCTTTCTGATGGTTCCTCCTATTGTTTTTAATTTTTACTTACAACTTCACTAATGTGAAAATATGTTTAATGGGTATGTAAATGTAAAGCCTTTGTCGGATTGTGTGCCATCTTGGGGAGGGTGGGGGGGGAGAAAAAGGGAGAAAAAATTTTCAACTCAAAAGCATATGGAAAAAAAATTTTAAAAAAATTAAATTAAATTAAAAAAAAAGAATGCCTAGCTTTCTTCAAGGCAAATGACATCCCATATATGAAGCTTTTCCTGATCTTATAAGTTGTTAGTGCTTTTTGTCTCTTAAAATTATGTCATATTTACTCTATACAATTTTATCCTTCCAGCAGAATGAAAAATCTTGGAAGATAAGGAATGTTTGTCTTTGATCCCTCCTTCCCTGCACAGGGCCTTGTATATAGTAGATACTTAATAAATGTCTACTGAAATGAATTCTTTACTTTTGTTTTGTAGTATTATATGATTTGTCTTGCAGCTTCTTGAAATGGGAATTGATGCCTTCAGACTGCTAGTAAGATTATAATTTTGACATTGAAGCTCTGATTTTTTTTTTTGCGACTACATTTTTGAGTGAGCTAAACTTAGAAATTCTTTCCATTAAGATCCACTAGAGTCTATCAACTTGTACTCTACTGTCTGTTTCCTAAAATTCCCAGAAAATACATGCTTTCCTGGAGTATGGTTTTGTATTTCTTTGGAAGAGCAATAATTCTCAGATTGTCTCTCTGAATTCCGTATTTTACTTCTGTTGTTTTATTTTGAGGAGAATTAAAGTCTTTTTGCAATTATACTGTTAAAATAATTTTTGTCCTATTATTCTGCCATCCTTGAATATTAGTGTTTCATCTATGCATATCCAGGCCTTAGATTTCCACTGTTTTTAAGCTGTCGTTCATTTTCTTCTCTTGTGTTTTTTTGATTGATCTTATTTTCATAATGATACATGGCAGATCTTCTTACATATTTCTTCTTGAGTTCTAAACACTCCAAAGATTTAGGGCAGTGACTACATTCTTGCTTCTGTGGGTCTGTTTATTATGTCAATCCTTTTCTTCTGGGGATTTCTTCTCCTTTACGATATTGTATTTGTTTATTCTATTAATTCTTTTTATTCTTTTTTAGTATTTCTGTTAATGTTCCCAAATATAATTATTTTCATTATGAGAATCCCATTTATCTCTCCTCTTTTATTGTTACTGAAAAAAATTCCTATTTGACCAATTTGTTATTGTTTTGAGATGATTGTGGGGGAGGGGAGGATTGGACTTAGTCACCGCTACTCAAGGAGCCATCTTTCCAGAACCCCCTTCCCCACCCTAAGCTATTAGATTATGTTCATGGATAGTTATAACTTATGTATTCCACTTTTAAAGTGTAGGGAATTGGGGGGGGGAGGCATTTATTAAACATTCTAATTCCTGTTTTATTCAACTTTACCCATTGGGGGACTATAAGAATATCTCACTTGAAGGTACACATTAACACAGATTTTTGAAATAAATTAATTTAGAGATGAAATTGTGTTAGAGGATTGTAGAGTTATTTCTGAAGCTCTTGTAAAAAAATGCCTTTCTTTTAGCCCATAAGACTCAAAAATAAAACTGATTTGGCATTTGAGCAGCATGAACATTTCTGAAGTAGGCGTATGTTGTCTGTTGTGTTGACTAGCTTTTTCTTTTCTTTGTATTTATATTAACTCTTTGCTGAGCATGGCTTGGGGACATGTAATTTACAGTAAAGTTAACCTAGGGTAGGGCTTTCTCTGATGTTTTTCTAACTACAAATTTTAGTGTCTTTCTCTTCTTGAGGGTGTATTTTTAAATGACTTTTACATAATTTGCAAGTCATACAGTGGTATTAGATATGTTACATCAATTAACTTTAATAAGTCTATTTGGTTTTTTATTGTGAATGCAAAATTAAATAGTTCAAAGTAATGAAACAGCAACTTATTTTATAGGAATTTCATCCTGTATTACAGTATAATCTATTCTTTTTCTACATCATTTATGTAACAGTTCATAATGGCTTTGGTAGTTAGAGAACAATAACAATAGTTAGCTAGCATTTATACATTAACACTGTTATTTACATATAAGAAAGTACTTCACAAAACCTTATGAGGGCACTTGTACAAATATTAGTATCTCCTTTTTACAGAGAATGAAATTGCAGCCCAAATTTAATTTAGCTAGCAGATGTGAAAACTAGGAACCATATGACATTTGTGCAGAGCTTTAAAATGTTGAAAATGCTTTATATCCATCATCTCATTTGATTTATCATCATGACAGCCCAGCAAAGTGGATACTATAGGTGCTATATTATTATCTCCATCTTATAGATAAGGGCTCAGAGTGATTTGCTTGTGGTTGCATAGTTTGAGGCAGAATTTGAACCCAGTTCTTCCAAATCTTGCCTTCTATTAACTACGCCACTCTGCCTCTGTCGCCAGTCAGTAAACTTGTCAACAAACATTTACTAAGCATCTACTCCATGCTAAGTTCTGGGGATACAAAAAAAAAGCAAAAATAGCCTCTGCTGTCAAAGAGCTCATAGTTTAATGTGGGTACAACATATAAACAAGAGGTATACAGGATACATTGGAGTTAATCTCAGAAAGAAGGCACTATGATTGAGGCTTGAGAAAGTCTTTTTGCAGAAAGTAGGGTTTTAGTTGAGATTTGAAAGAACCAGGAGGTAGAAGTTGAGAAGGGGAACATTCCAGGGATGGAGGACAGCCAGTAAAAATACACAGAGTTGGGAGGTGACATGTATGCAAAGAACAGAAAGGAGACTGGTGATACCGAATCTCAGAGTATGTGGACTTGCCAACGTGTAGGCTATGTAGGGATGGATAGAAGTTTGAGACCTAATCATATTTCTCCAGATAGTCCTTATCTTATACTTTATTATTTCTTGTATTTGGGCCATTTTTAATTGAATTAAGAGAATATAAGTCAAGAGCTGATGCAGGATTTCATACTGTCCAGCATCATCATTATCCTCTCTTAAGAATTCTTAACCTAATTTGTGTCATGGACCCCTTTGGCATGGCATGGTATGGCATAAAACCTATGGACTCTTTCCTAGAATAATGTTTTTAAATTCATAAATGAAAAACATAGAATTATAAAGGAAATTAGTTGTATTGAAGTAAGGATGCAATTTTTTCCCCATCTTAGATCATGGACCTCCAGGTTAAAAAACCTCTACCCTATGTGAGTTTTTTCCTCTGTTGGAATAAAAAAGCTTGTTAATTTTATGATTGAAAGTATAGAGAAAAGAAGAAATGACAATGAAAAATGGCATACACACATACATAAATGCATATATAATATCAGAATGCATATATATTTTATATACACACACATATTAGAATGGAAGAGATGTTAGAGATCATCTAGTTTGAGGTCTAGTAATATTAGGTTGTAAATATGCCTGGGATCACAAAGCTGTTCAAGGTACTGTCAGAAATGGAATCCAGATTTCCTGACTTACTGGCCAATGCTTTTCCCCCATTAAACCTGACAACAGTTTTTTGCCAAAAGAATTCTTTCTTTCTCTGACTTAGGGAAGTCTCAATCAGTTAAAATGTACTGTGTTTAATTCAATTCAACTCAACTAACATAATAAACACCTAATATGTGTGGGGTACTGGACTAACTTCCAGAATTGCTAAGACAAAAAATGAAACATGTGTTGCCTTCAAGGAGCTAATGTCACTATCATATTGATTATTATCCATATTTAAAAATATTAATGCGGTGAGATTTAGGAATATAAATGAGCTACTTTTCTAAAAAAATAAAAACTCATGGAAGACTCTCTTTGTGGAATAATTTAGTCTTGGGTAAAACTGTGTAGATATCCTGAGGCTCTATAAAGCAAGGATTGATTCAGAAGAGTCCAGTATTTAGCTGGTTTTGCAAGCAGCACATGATAGAAGATCCACTCACTAGAACATATGCTTTGTTCCATATGGTTTGTAAAAAATATACTATTCAAAAGAAGTTAAGACAAGAAGAGCATTCAGTTAGCAGAAGGCTTCAAAGAGAAGGGCTGCATGTTAGTTAATACTTTTTGAATATTTAATGGTTGTATTGTATTATCTACATCTTATTACTTTAAAATTGTAGTTTTTAAAACCATACTGTACTACAGAGTTGATTAATCAATTGATTTGTGGTCATGGTTCTTGATTTTTTTTTAATTAGGATACTGGTGAAAAATCTTCTGATCTGCTACTTGATTTTCAAATGTCCAGTGAGGATCTATACAGTAAGAATCTGATTCAGAGACAAGACGAAAACATATCTTCACTGGACTTGAGCATGGAAGCTTCTTCTAGCTTTACCAGCACAGATCTCCTGCCTGCACCAGCTATTGATAACCTTACTGAATGTGAAAATGCAGAGATTTGGACTGAATCTCAACTAACCAATGAAACATTATCCAGTGCAAAATTTGCTTCATTTATGCTTCCTGATTCTACTGGACAAGTAAAAGCCTTTGTTTGTTGCAAATTTTGTATTGTAGTTGGGGATGGGGTACTAAGCACTTCTTTTTGCATGCATAGGGTTAGGGGATTATAAACTTAGAGCTAAGAGATACCATAGTACATTGCTCTCATTTTACAATTTCAGAAATTGAGGCCTGGAAAAAGTAAGTGATTTGCAGCAAAGAGCAAGGGTAGGATTTGACCCGGGTTCTCTGACTCTGAATCCAGCAGTCTTTCCAGTGTACCAGATTAAGTATCACTTTATTGATTCACTGAGTTCTAAAAAACAGCCCCAAATTATTGTCTTGAATTGTATTGAATTAAACCTGAACAAATTGGAAAACGTCCCTGATACTGAAATCATATTTCCAAGTTCTCTTTTTGTTTTCACATGTCTTGTTTTTCTTCTGGCCAGAAACCAGAACCCATAATGGCAAAGGATTCCCTGGATTCTTCTGATGAATGTGCTACATTCCACAATTTATCCAAAGAGTCATTTGAGAAGACTATTATCATAGCAAAAGGCAATTCTAGCCTAGGTAAGTGCTAGCCGTTTTCTGTGTATGTGTGTGTATGTGTTTTATATGTGCATAGTGAATCTTAAGCAAAGATTTTCTTTGGTTGCATTTTATGGATTTATGCCAGTACTATTGGGCTCACAGAAAGGTCTACAATTTCTTTTCTAAAACTAAGAAAATAGATGATTAGTACTTTTTTGTATAAATCGTAGTCAAATTGGTTAATTCATGCTTGTATTTCCCCCCAGATGATTAACTACTTTGTTAGAAGACTTTATTCCGTACTGGTAATTGTGCATATTTCTCTTAGTTATTTAAAGGTGTTCATTTTTATGAAAGTAAAAATTATATTAGTAATGGAATATATAGAAAATGAAGTTAGTAATTTACAATTCTAGATTACTTGTGAAACTAAATTATTAGTTTCTTTAAATATTGGCAGTTGCAAGTAAATTGCTTGGTAGAGTGAGTCCTTCTGAATGTTTAACTTACTCTTTTCATTGAAATAGCATCTAAAATGGCAACTGGATGTGCCGCAGGCAAAATCAAATATTGATTAGCTGTTCACTTGGTATGCTTCATGTCCGTTACTATCCATAACACATTGTAGCTTACTGCAATATAGCAATACAACAGTTCTTCAGACTGGGGCAAAGAGTAAGAAGATTCATATGAAGAATTCTTTCATTTGGCAATGGTAATGGTTAAAATAAGGAATATGATTCAGTTTTTCTCCTTGTTTTTCGTTGCCTTTGTAGACGTGCCTCTTACAGAGAAGAGAGGTTTAGCTATCACAGCTCAGACAGTAACAGTATTATTGGAGAGACTGGGTTTGGTGGTATTAAAAGATAGCAAGAAACTAAGAGAAAGGTGAAGAATCAGGAGCCCAGGGTTAGAAATATGAAAGGCTGCCAGGTGACAGGGTGGCTCAGCATGAGCTAGTGCTGACTCTCGGGGTTTCTGAACCCCTTTGTTCTTAGGCAACCTAAGACCTTTTCTTTCTTTCCCAGTTCTTGATCCTTTGAAAACATTCATGCAAGGGCTTCCAATATACATATATGAAGGAAGGGATACAATTACCTACTGAATTTGAGTTTCCATAGGGAGGTCTACATGGTCCAAGACTGGCTGGGGTGAGTCTTGAGGTGTTGGTTAAGCTACCAAGTCTCAAACAGTCCCTTCATCAGAGTTTCCTGCCTCATTTTTGAGGGCATGGTTCTTTTTTTTTTTGTTAATCTATTTTGATTTATCAACAATCACTTCCGTATGCTTTTGAGTTGAAAATTTTTCTCCCCCTTCCTCCCCCCTCCCTCTCCAAGACAGCGCACAATCTGATATATACATTTATATACCCATTAAACATATTTTCACATTAGTGAAGTTGTAAGTAAAAATTAAAAACAATAGGAGGAACCATCAGAAATGAAACAAAACTCAACAGAGGTAAAAATAAGTGAGAGCGATTCGACTTCCATAGTTCTTTCTTTGGATGTGGACAGCATTTTCCATCCTGAGGCCTCTGGAGATGTCTTAGATCCTCATAATGCTGAGAAGGGCTCAGTTTAACAATCTTAGTCATTGCATAACGTGGCTGTTATTGTATACAAAGTCCTCTTGGTTCTGCTCACTTCACTCAGCATCAGACCATATAAGTCCCTCCAGGTTCTTCTGAAGGTAGCCTGTTCATCATTTCCCACAGCACAATAGTATCCATCCATTCACATACCACAACTTGCTCAGCCATTCCCCAATTGATGGGCATCCTCTCAATTTCCAATTCTTTGCCACCACAAAAGAGCTGCTATGAATATTTTTGTACATGTGGGTCCCTCTCCCATTTGTTTGATCTCTTTGGGATATAGCCCTAGAAGTGCTATTGCTGGATCAAAGGGTATGCACATTTTTGTAGCCCTTTGGGCATAGTTCCAAATTCTCCAAAATGGTTGGATCATTTCACAACTCCACCAAAATGTATTAGTGTTCCAATTTTCCCACATCTTCTCCAACATTTATCTTTCCTGTTTTGTCATGTTGGCCAATCTGATAGGTGTGATGTGGTACCTCAGAGTTGTTTTGATTTGCATTTCTCTAATCAATAATGATTTAGAGCATTTTTTCATATGACTATAGATGGCTTTAATTTCTTCATCTGAGAACTGTCTGTTCATATCCTTTGACCATTTATCAATTGGGGAATGGCTTGTGTTCTTATAAATTTGTCTTAATTCTCTATATATTTTAGAAATGAGGCCTTTATCAGAGAGACTGGTTGTAAAAATTCTTTCCCAATTTTCTACCTTCCTTCTAATCTTAGTTGCATTGGCTTTGTTTGTGCAAAAACTTTTCAATTTAATGTAATCAAAATTATCCATTTTGCTTTCATAATGTTCTCTATCTCCTGTTTGGTCATGAATTCTTCTGTTCTCCATAGATCTGATAGGTAAACTATTCCTTGTTCTCCCAGTTTACTTATGGTATCAGCCTTTATATCTAAGTCATGAACCCATTTTGACTTTATTTTGGTATATGGTGTGAGATTTGGGTCTATGCCTAGTTTCTGCCATACTCTTTTCCAGTTTTCCCAGCAGTTTTTTTCAAAGAGTGGGTTCTTATCCCAGAAGCTGGGGTCTTTGGGTTTATCAAATAATAGATTACTATAGTCATTGACTACTGTGTCTTGCATATTTAATCTACTGATCCACCTCCCTATTTCTTAGCCAGTACCAAGCAGTTTTGATGATTGCTGCTTTATAATACAATTTAAGATCTGGAATTGCTAGGCCACCTTCCCCTGCATTTCTTTTCATTAGTTCCTTTGATATTCTGGACCTTTTGTTTTTCCAAATGAATCTTGTTATTATTTTTCTAACTCTATAAAATAATTTTTTGGTAGTTTGATTGGTATGGCACTGAATAAGTAAATTAGCTTAGGTAGGATTGTCATTTTTATTGTATTAGCCTGGCCTACCCATGAGCAACTGATGTTTTTCCAATTATTTAGATCTGATTTTATTTGTGTGAAAAGTGTTTTGTAATTGTGTTCATAGAGTTCCTGGGTTTGTTTCAGGAGGTAGACTCCTAAATATTTTATAATGTCTACAGTAAGTTTAAATGGGATTTCTCTTTCTATCTCTTGCTGTTGGGCTTTGTTGGTAATATATAGAAATGCTGATGATTTATGTGGGTTTATTTTATAGCCTGCAACTTTGCTAAAGTTGTTTATTATTTCAAGTAGTTTTTTACTTGATTCTCTAGGATTCTCTAAGTATATCATCATGTCATCTGCAAAGAGTGATAGCTTTGTTTCTTCTTTGCCTATTCTAATGCCTTCAATTTCTTTTTCTTCTCTTATTGCTAAAGCTAAGGTTTCCAGTACAATATTGAATAACAGTGGTGATAATGGACATCCTTGTTTCACCCCCGATCTTATTGGAAATGCTTCTAGCCTGTCCCCATTACATATAATGCTTGCTGAAGGTTTTAGATATATGCTATTTATTATTTTAAGGAAGACTCCATTTATACCTATGCTTTCTAGTGTTTTTAATAGGAATGGGTGTTGTATTTTATCAAAAGCTTTTTCTGCATCTATTGAGATGATCATGTGGTTTCTGTTGGTTTTGTTGTTGATATGCTCAATGATGCTGATAGTTTTCCTAATACTGAACTAACCCTGCATTCCTGGTATAAATCCTACCTGGTCATAGTGTATTATTCTTGTGATAAGTTGCTGCAATCTACTTGCTAGTATTTTGTTTAAAACTTTTGCATCTATATTCATTAGAGAAATTGGTCTATAATTTTCTTTCTCTATTTTGACTCTTCCTGGTTTAGGTATCAACACCATATTTGTATCATAAAAAGAATTTGGTAAGACTCCTTCTTCACCTATTTTCCCACATAGTCTATATAGTATTAGAATTAATTGTTCTTTAAATGTTTGATAGAATTCGCATGTAAATCCATCTGGCCCTGGAGATTTTTTCCTAGGTAGTTCATCAATGGCTTGTTCAATTTCTTTTTCTGAGATGGGGTTATTTAAGTATTTTACTTAAATACATGGTTCTTAAAAACAGGCTTCCTAACTGAAGCTCTGAAGCCAGCTATATATCACATACTAAAATAGTACTCAACAAATGTGAGCTACTACTGTGATGTGGTGTATGTACATTGAGAACTACTTCAAGTTTCAAAATGCATCTTGTTTTACACTCTACTCTAGTGATGCCAGCTACTTTCAGGTCTTTCCATTAATCCTCGATAATGGAATAAGTACACAATTGTGTTAAAATATTTTTTGCCACTGATACATTTAGAATTCATGTGTGTACAATTCTCATGATTGATTTCCTTATTATAGAGACTGTTTTTTTGAGTTTAAGCCCCCATCACACCCTCAAAACCTACTCTTTTATTTATTTTTTTAGGTCAGCCTCCCCAAAGTAGTGCCTTTCTGTTCTGTGTGCCAGAATTTAAGATGTGCTTTGAAGCTAAATAGATCTCATTATAATGGCTTAGCCAGAACAAACCTTTGAGACTGCATGCCTTGCTCTTACATTTTAACATCTGTTTTTGATATTTATATTAATCAAAAGAATTTACTGAGTGTGTATCATGTTCAGAGTACTGTATTAGGTGCCATGGGGGCCTACAAAGGAAGAAATGACCTTTGCACTCTCTCTAACTCTCTCTCTCTCTCTGTCACACAGAGACACACAGACACACATACACACACACACATACACCTTAAAATGAAACGATAAACATATGAGTGGATCATCATATAACAAAGTACCCATTAATATAGTGTGCAATGAGAATATGAATAAGGATGCAGAAGTAAATGGTAGGGAAAGGGAGGTCAATTGTATAAAATTCATGGAAAAGTGATTGTGAGCTATGTTTTGCAGATGGCCTAGATAAAAAATCACAGAAATACTATATTGTAAGGAACCTCTGTGGCTTTCCAGTTCAACTTCTATCTAAACAAGAATCCTCTCTGAGACCTACCCAACAAATGG